TAGACAGTCTCTTCCCATTCTGTATGTTTGGAACTGATTGTTCCTTCCTAAGTGGAGCACTTTCCATTTGTCTTTATTAAACTTCATCCTGTTTAACTCAGACCATTTCTCCATTTTTTATAGATGGGCACTATATTTGCCCTTTTCCAGTCTTCTGGAATCTCTCCCGTCTCCCATGATTTTCCAAAGATAATAGCTAGAGGCTCAGATACCTCCTCTATTAGCTCCTTGAGTATTCTAGGATGCATTTCATCAGGCCCTGATGACTTGCAGGCATCTAACTTTTCTAAGTGATTTTTAACTTGTTCTTTTTTATTTTATCTTCCAAACCTACCCCCTTCCCATTAGCATTCACTATGTTAGGCATTCCTTCAGACTTCTCGGTGAAGACCGAAACAAAGAAGTCATTGAGCATCTCTGCCATTTCCAAGTTTCCTGTTACTGTTTCTCCCTCCTCACTGAGCAGTGGGCCTATCCTGTCCTTGGTCTTCCTCTTGCTTCTAATGGATTGATAAAAAGTCGTCTTGTTTCCCTTTATTCCTGTAGCTAGTTTGAGCTCATTTTGTGCCTTTGCCTTTCTAATCTTGCCTCTTCATTCCTGTGTTGTTTGCCTATATTCATCCTTTATACAGTAATTTGTCCTAGTTTCCATTTTTAATATGACTCCTTTTTATTTTTTAGATCATGCAAGATCTCGTGGTTAAGCCAAGCTGGTCTTTTGCCACATTTTCTATCTTTCCTACCCAGCAGAATGGAGCGGTCGGAAATTTCTGAACTATTTGCCTTTCTTCTTCTTCTTCTCCCCCCATCCCTTTAAATGATTATCAAACTTGTTAGAGTTTGGTGGGGGCAAATGTGAGGATGTGAGAGGAGCTGTCCGAACAAACTTCAGGCCTCCTTAACTCTTTAAGCTATCTGGCACAAGGGCCTACAGCACGGGTGGACAAACTTTTTGGTCCGAGGGCCACATCTGGGTGGGGAAATGTCATGCAGGGCCGGGGCAGGGGGTTGGGGTGTGGGAGGGAGTGCGCAGTGTGGGAGGGGGTGCGGTTTGCAGAAAGGGGCTCAGGGCAAGGGGTTGGGGCAGAGGAGGGGGCCAGAGTGTATGAGGGGGCTCAGGGAAGGGGGTTGGGGTGCAGGAGGGGTGTGGAGTGCAGGAGGGGGCTCAGTGCAGGGGTGCAGGGAGGGGTGCGGAGTGTGGGAGGGGGCTCAGGGCAGGGAGTTGGGGTCCAGGAGGGGTGCAGCAGCGTATTGGGGTGCAGGCAGGGGGCTCAGGGCAGGGATTTGGGGTGCAGGATGCAGGAGGGGTGCGGGCTCCAGCGTGGCAGCGGCGGGGTGGCAGCGGCGCGCACTGGTGCCAAGGCAGGCTCTCTGTCTGCCTGCCTGCCCTGGCCCCGCACCGCGCTGCACCGAGCCGCTCCCATAGTTTGCCCACCCCTGTCCTACAGAGTATAACATGCAAAAACAGTCTATGCATTTACACACGAGGCCAAGTTGTGCTACACTGGCTTCATTTGAGTTCCTGCATTTAATCAAGGGTAGAATTTGGTATATTTAGCAGCTTTAAAAAAAATGTTGTTATGGTTTAGGAGGCAAGAAACATATGAACTGAAAGTGTTTGCTTCCACAATGCATAGGAAAAAAATAGATCAGAAAGGAGGTCTTGTGATCTAATGGCCTTAAATAGAAGAATTGGAGAGATTTCAGCTTGAATCATATAGGGAAGCTTAGCCCCTTGACCCTAATTGTTGAGTTACCTCAATGCAAAGTGCTAATGCTTGATGAATTAGCACACAACACTGGGAGCATCACCATCACCAGTGCCAAAGAGTTAAGCAAGTTGAGCTCATATTGTTTTTAATCATTTTCTATTCTCCCTGTCTCTTCATTAACTGAGCATATTGAATGGTAGGCTTCTCTGAACAGCAACTTCTTGGCAGTTTTGGAATTTCTCCGGGTTTCTTGTCAGAAAGAATGTTTCATTTAGTTTCCTTTTCTAAGCATGCTAACTTCAAAGTAGGCTTTTTGAGAGGGGCTAGACTAGGGAGGTAAAGGGGTGAAGGATTTGGGAAATGGAAACTTTCAGCTCTTAGGTTCAGATATAACTAGGGCCCTACCAAATTCACAGCCATGAAAAAACCAGCACGGACAATGAAATCTAGTCTCTCCCCCCATGAAATCTGGTCTTTTGTGTGCTTTTACACTATATTATACAGATTTCATGGGGGGAGACCAGCATTTCTCAAATTGGGGGTCCTGACCCAAAAGAGAGTTGTGCTGGGGTGGGAGGGTCACAGTATTGCCACCCTTACTTCTGCGCTGCCTTTAGAGCTCTCCCGGAGAGGTGTGGCCATTGGCCAGGTGCCCAGCCAGCAGCAGTGCAGAAGTAAGTACCATACCATGCCACCCTTACTTCTGTGCTGCTGCCTTCATAGCTGGGTGGCCAGAGAGTGGCAGCTGCTGACCAAGGGCCAGGGGTGAAAGTAACTTAAATGACTTACTGATATGCAGGGAGGCAGGGGTCCTGGGACAGGTGGGGGGGCCTCTGGGCCCCCTGAGAGGCGGGGCCTTGGGTGGAAGGGGCAGGGCTGGGGCCAAAATCCCCCAGCCAGCCCTTCAGCGCTGCCCCGCCCCCACTGCCTGGGACTTCAGCGTTGATTTAAAGGTCCCGGGGCTCCAGCCGCAGGTATGGTGGTGGCAGTGGCAGCCAGGAGCCCCATGCCCTTTAAATCACTGCCAGGGCCCCAGGGTAGCAGTGGTATTGGCTGGGAGCCCTGGGGCTCCAGCCAAAATTTAAAAGGCCCCACTCCAGCCACAGAAATTTTCCCAATGTTGTTTTAGAAATGTGGCTTTGACCATATCCTGAAGGGAGCCCAGTCTATGCAGTCAGAAGGGTTGGAAATTTCTGTAATATTTAAGGTAAAGATACATTTGCTATAATTTAGTAAAGTACCATAGTCACACTCTGTCTCACTGTTAGAAAATTGCCTTTTCTTTTCTAGCTATGCCCATGTCTAGCTCTTCTTTTCAAATCACATTTTGCTCAATTTGCATTTTTGTTTGCTGTTCATACTCAAGCGTTTTCTGTTATATAGTGCTTCCTACCTTTTCAAAAAGGTAAGTTGAAAAAGGCAAAAAGAGAGGCGCTTTCCATGTAGAAAATGATTGGGGACTTTATGGGAACTCCGGGGTTTCTTTCAGTAATAGACACCAAACTCTCTGGTTAATAAAAATAACATCTCTTCCTCTTTCTGGGTTGCTATACTTATTTTTGGTTGCTAGCATATCAAACCAAACAATAAACATAAGACCTACTACAGACTTCTCCTATCTCAAGTACAAGCATCAGTTATAAGAAAAGACCCATAAATGGTCCATAGTGCAGAAGAATCACCTTTCCTAGCTGTCTTCTGGGCTGCTTGGTTGGTCTCTAAGCTGCCTGAGTCACATCCAGGCAAGAGTAGCTGCTAATACTGTTCTTAACTGCAGGATACAAACCCCACTTGCTAAACAACCCCACTTCTTCACTAACTAATAATAACAATAGTAACAAACCCCTATCTTAGGTACTTATAGGGCCCCATTACCTCACAGAAGTAGAAGTAGGGTTTGTGAGGTTTCCTCCCAGGGCCCAGCATGTCATAATGGTCTGGAGTTCATGTAAATGCTATATATGCTGTGTAGTCTTCCCTTATTTTTTTTCCTCATATGTGAAATGGTAGATCGCCTGACCATAAGTTTGCATGCATGAGTGCAGCCCCTTCACTATCCTCTGTTTTCACTTTTTATTCACTCACCTCATTGATTCCCATTTCCTCTTTCCCCTAAATTCAAGCGAACTATCCTCATTCTCTCCCTCTGCTTTCCCAATCTCTCTCTCATTCAGACATTCTCTTTCTCTTTCACACTCAAATTTCTTCTGCTCTCTTTCTGTCTTACCCCTCTCATCCACATTCTCTCTCTTACACACACCAATCACCCTCCCCATTTCACACTACTATGAAATACTGTGTTAAGAGAGAATATTGGCATCAATTCCAAAGATAGCAGTTTGTCTAGATGAGACTTAATACCAAATGCAATTTATAACCAATTAAATAAAAGGTGTTACTTTTTTTCCTTACCAGCATATTCTTATTTTTTAACAGTCATCTATAAGCTGGGATAAAAGAATAAGCATTGGTTCTTCACTCCCGAGCAACCTCTCTAGTCCTACAGACGATCTACCTCCAACTCGTATCAAGGAAAACCACATTTTGGAAGGGCTGAAGAAGTTACAGAAACGAAAAATGTTATTTGAACCATCTTCAGTAATATCAAAATGGGGTTACAAAGATTGCATGGACTCCAATGAAGGAATATATTCCCCTGGAATTAAATGTGGCAGCCATGAAGAACAAACTCATTGTAAGCCAATGGAAATAGGGAGTGTTTGCATCGAGCACAACAAAACTTTCACTTATGATTCAGATTCACATGATGATGCAGATGATGAATCTTCATCTTTAGTGTTGCTGCATGAAGTACCAAGCAAAGGTTGCAGGCTCTATTGTAATAAATTAACCCACAGTATTTCTGACAGTCTATTTGGTTGGGAGCCTAATGGGAAACATTTACCAGAAAAAGGTTCATATTTTAATTCAAGGGAAAGACCTGAAAAACTAACTAGTTTTGTCAATGATTTTCAGTCAGAGGTAAAATCATGCACAAATGTTAAGCTGCCTGTACTACAGCTAGATCAAAGCACTGCTAATCTAGGTTGGAAGGACCTTAATTTACAGTTTTCAGATACTGATGACAATGAAGTCATGGATGAATTACATATAGAAAGCAGTGATGAAAAAAGTCCATCGGAGTTGTTATTAACTCCCTTTACTGACAAGCATACAGAGAGCTCTGACGTGCTTGCAGGGATGGAGAATTCTCAGTTTGTATCTACTGACGGAGAGGAAAAACAAGTATCCACTCAGTCAGATATTGGGCCAAAGACATGTAATTTCATTAAACAACAAAAGGTTATAAAAAAGACTTCTTCTGAAGAATGCACTACTGTAATATTTGATGCTGAGGATGGCGAGCCTATTGAATTCAGTTCACATCAAACTGGAGTAGTCACTGTGACTAGAAATGAAATTTCCATCAAGCGACCACAAAGTGGGCCCAATGCAGAATACACTGAATTTATACCTCAGGGAATAACTAATTCACAGACAGGAACTAATGCTAGAAACTACACTGTTTTAGAAACACCTGAAGATGAAATCGAGAAAAGGACTCTTCAGAATAATGTAGGGAATGAAAATACTATTGTCCCCAGGACATGCAGTGAATCTTTACACTTTGGAAGAGCATTGTTGCAAAATACTCTACAACAAAAGCTAGTGAAGCCAGTGTACAATGTATCATATAAGGCCAATTCCATCTCCACTGTTCATGCAGGTATCAATCAAAAACAAAACTTGACTAAAATACCCAGCAGAAGTAAGTTTTCACCACAGAAAATTAAGATGACAGATAGTGAGGAGTCCGCTGCAGCCTTATCATCTGGCCCAACAACCCTAGAAAAATCACCAGCTTTGCTGCCTATGAAACTGTCAAGATTCAAAAAGGCACAAAGTCCAACTCATAATCTGGATTTGAAAATAGACATAGAGATTCCAAAGCACCCTGCCCATCTTCCTCAAAATTCTAAAATTCCAGGCAGAAGTGATTGGACAAAGAATCCAAAGAGTCAAGTTCCAGAATCGCCATTATTGCCTCGGCACCTTATAGAACCCAGTGACTATGGAGAGCCCCCAACCAGAGATATTCATTGTGATTTAGCAATTGTAGAAACCCGATCCCCATCACCCCCCGCTCCTCCGGGCCGGTCAACTTCACTATTGATTAAACCAAATTATGAACATTCTCCACCTTTATCCATAAAGCCAGGCACAACTGTTCCCAATGAAACAGCAAAAAATATTCTTAAATTGTCACCCTTAAAAAGAACTGCAAACCCTATTGCTTTTCATAATCAATCTAATCGTGAAATGCTAACAAAAAATACACCTCTCATGGCCAAAATTGAATTAGTTCACCTTGAAGAGAATGGAGAAATGAGCACACAAAACATGCTTCAGCAGTCCCACAGCTCCCCTGGAACCTCTAAAGGGCCTTCCAAAGTTTTCACAAAAAGAGCTTGCCCAAAACCCTCTAATCAGTCAGTATTCTGCAGCAATCAGGAGCTTTCTAACCCAGGATTACGGACCGCTAAGACCTTCTCTCTAGCTTGTGTGTCACTGGAAACGGTTTCCTCACAAAGCACATATTCAGGCAAAAAAGGACTATCCGATGGCAGTGGAGTGCCTCAGCCACAAAAGATGCCAAACAGTCTGCCCACATCTCCACAATGTCAAACAGCAAATAGTAGCGAGCCTCTTCCATCTCATGTTAACCGTTCCTCATTGCCACTATCGTTTCATGGCAGTGACACAACAAATGCTGTCCAAATCTCTCATGAGAAAGGACTGAAAACCCGCCTCCCTGTAGGACTGAAACTACTTGTAAAATCTCCCCAACTCCTCAGGAAGAGTTCTACTGTACCAGGGAAACAAGAAAAAGACAGCATAAATGCAGCTTCCAAAAGCAATGTGAGTTCATGTAAGTACAAGCAGGATGAATCCATGTGTCTAACCACCATGGAAACAATGGGTTCAGAATTAAGAGTCACTAAGGCCAATACTGAAATAAAAGATCAATTTTCCATGGGACTTACTATTGATACAGCATCACCTCACTCACCTGAAAACTGCAGCATGATGGTAGACAGAAGAGATGGATTAGAAAACAAATTAGTTAAGAGATCTGTTTCTTCTAGTAACAAAACATACTTAAAACCGGCTCTGGGAATGAATGGAGCAAAAGCCCGTAGTCAAAGTTTCAGCATTCATACAGGGGAAAAGCCAGCTACCCCTGTGACAGACGGGCTAGGAAAAGTACGGACTCAGATTATTACTAACACTTCTGAAAGAGGAAATTCTTTAACAAGGCAGAACTCTACCATGGAAGGATTCCAAATCAAGGCCATTCCTGGGTTAGCAATGGCATCAGAGACCCTTTCAGATACTTCAAAAGTTCCAGAAAAATTCTATTCTAGACAAGGTTCTGATGGAAGCATGAGTAGTTCCAATAGTCAGCATGGTAGCCCAAGCAGACTACCATTCAGAACATCTCCAAAAGTGGACTTGTTTCACAGCATTTCAAAATGTGAGGAAAACAAATCACCTTCTCAGAAAGATACACCAAATATATTTGTCCACAATGAAAAAAGCAGTGAGAATTCTAAACAGCATCCACTAAACACAAAAAGTATCATGCAAGCAGAATTGGAGTTGGAGTCATCACCTACTATTCCAACAGAACAAATTTCATCATTTCAAAACTTGGATGGAATACAATATCCTCGTAAACTTGAAGCAAGCAAGTCACAAAGACAAGAAACCTCTTTAAAGATACCAGAAAACTCTGAGGTTACCAGTGCTTTGAGTTCATCTGTTGTACAACCTACAATAGAAGAAAAAGTCATGTTGTGTATCCAGGAAAATGTGCAGAAGGGTCAAGGGCAAAACAAGTCTCCCACCACCGAGATGAAACAAAAGACTGGGCCCTCTATAGCTAGCTGGTTTGGTTTTCGTAAGAGTAAACTCCCAGCCCTGAATGGTAGAAAAACTGATGTTCCTAAAACAAAGGTAGAAAAGAAAGAAGCAAAAGGTTCAGGTTTTGGAAATAAGCAGGCAAAGTCAGAGAAAAAAAAAGATAAAAAGAAAACTGACCAACACTGTGAAGCAGAAAATGAATTTAATAAGAAAACTGAAAATGGTGACATTTTAGATGATGTTTTGAAAGGCAAAAAGAATACAAAAGCTTCACAAGACATCCCTGGCCAGATTAGGTGTTATCAAAAGAGTGGTTCCTCCACCATCACATATTCAGCAAAAGACAGTTTTATGAAAGAACTTTTAAACAGGTAATTACTTTATGAAACAATTTGGGATGTGCATTTTTTTCCCTCTGCAGCTATATGTGCATCCTCGATGTTAAACAGAATGCAAGAATGTTTCTTCTAGACTAGGAATGCATAGTGTAACCCACACACCTGCTGGGTGTGGTGTTCTCCCCCATGCAGTGGTCCTGAGACCACATAGAGAGAGAGAGATTATTAGTTTGGTCTACAGCCTTTCAGCTCATGCGGTACAAGCTCATGCACTAAGCTTCAGAGGCTGCAGGTTCAATCCCGCCTGCGACGATTGGGGTCTGTCGGTGTTACAATAGCAGCATTTGTTTTGTACATATCAAGATTTTAATCTCTGGGGGAAAATGTTAGCAATAAAATGATAATCTGGTTCATGTTAGTTTGTTAACCAAACCAATGGTCTTTGAAATTAAAGAATGGTAAATTTGATCAAAGATTATAGGAATTCAAACTATACCAGAAACTAGGCATGTAGGCATATGGTTTGAAACAGAGGAAAATTAGGTACATGTTTTTTTATTTCTCCCATTCTCAGTGATTGTAACCAGCAAATGTGTATTTGGTAACTAGCCAGAATTAATTACATTTACAGCTACCATAACCTTAAGCCACAAAGACACTCAACAATCATTGTACAGTGATTCCCAGTTTGCCCCACAGCAATTCCAAATATAAAATAAATCATTGTATGTGAAAGACTAAATTGATACACTACCTGAAATTGCAAGTGACAGATTTGATCAAGACTAGTTAGAAACATTTATCACTCAAAGGTCTAGAGACAGAAAGATACAGAGAGGTTACTTTAAACATTAAAGGGATGGGAAAAGTAGAGCGCTTGAAGAAGGGCAATGTAATTTATCAGAGGAATCACTTTCTACCTGCAGAGTTGATAAGAAAGCAGCTCAGCAGACAGAAAGTGGATCAAATAATGTTTCCTACAGGAGTGTGTCGAAGGGCAGCTCCCAGGGCTCCTCTCTTCCCAGCAACTCTATCAGCGCTCAAGGAAGCCACAAGAAAAACAGCAAAACAAAAGCTGATATGGAAATGCAGCATGAGACACTGGTAAGTTCTTTAGTGCACAAAAACATTATTTCCCTTTTATTAATTTCTGGATGTGCTTTGTTCCTTATTGTCAGTACAGGCAAAAAATACAATAATTGTTTATATATAGTAGAAAGAATTTTGTAACTAGAGAACTATGAATTAATGTCAAATCTGACAGTTTGATTATGGGCCAGATTGTACGACTATTCATGAAGATCATACTGCTTTTACCAGCAACTCAATTTCTGTAAGTATATTTGCAACAATGATGCCATAATCACAGTGGAGCACAATGAAATAAGGGGACCATTTTCTTTTCTTTTTTACTTTCCCCTGAAAATTACACACTTGCGTCAAACATTCTTCTGATATGATCGAAACCATTAAAAATAAAAATTGTAAAACAATGGGGGGAAAAGGCAAAGTACTGAATCACATTTAGGGATGTTTGTCACTATCAAACACACAAGTGAGAATTGGATACTTGACTTTCCATGGGAATTAAGCCCCTTAGCTACCCTTTGTACCTTTGAAAATATCCCCCTTGAAATGAATTTTGTGCTTCTCTACAGTTTTAACTGGATCTGATACTTTCATTTATCCAGAGAGCAGAAGCGTTACAATTCCTAAGGAAAATTGTTTTAAGCACTGTCAGCTCTTGGGCCCTGATTGTGCAAAGGTTATGCATGTATTTGCTTAGCTTTACACATTGTGAGTAGTGCTTGCTGTGCATCAAATGAATAAAGCTAAGAATGTGTAAATCTTTGCAGAATTGTGACCTAAGATCTTACTCTAAAGATACCCCTAATTGTGAAGTTTTTAATAATTAATCTTAGAACTTAGCTGAGAGTGATTTCTCCTTTAAAGTGGGCTTCTCCCATGATGTTATAAAGTTTCAAATACCGGTGGCATACAGATATTTTAACTCTAACCGCATTTAATTTTCTATCATAAAAACTTTCTTCACTCTTCATAGTTGTGTTAACCATATTATTTTCCCTTTTTGCAAAATAATTTGAATGTTTGTACCAAATGTGTTCAGTGTACAGCATTAATTTAAGCATATCATTTTTGTTCTGACAAAATGGGTTATTAAAATACAGCACATGCTACCATTTTGTATGAGAACATTTGAAATATGAAGTAATTAAATATTTCTCTGGGTCATATTTGAAGGGTAAAGCAAGTTTCAAAAAGCTTCATAAGGGGAATTGGAAATCCTCTTAGTTTACTATTGATGTTAGAGGGCTTAAGGTTATAGTATCACAGACACACTTTCAAGTCCAGGCAAATGTGTATTTTTATTTTCATGCAAATAATGTCTGTACTAAAAGGATATACAAGGTCATTTTTAAAAACTCTCTCAGAAAGCATTGGCAGAATGAATGCTTTGGAAAACTTTTTGCTCCTGGCTTCTGTGGTATCATCTCTTCTTTGAAAATGTAGATGTCCCCTGCATTATAAAACCACAAATTATAAGCATATCTAAGGCTGCCCTTGTAATGTCACTGAAAGGAAAGAGAGAGAATGAAAGTCTGGAAATGTGCAATATGCAGGAAATTCAATCCAACTGATCTAGAACTTTGATAGCAAAGCGGAGCCCCTTATCAGAGCCACTCAATTTAACTATGCCCCATTTAATATGGTCCTGACAGCTTAGGGTATATCGTCACTGTACAGAAGTACAAAAAGCTCTGAACCATTGCTTCTACAATTTCTTTTTTGCTTTCTTATTATTTTCTAATGCTGCAATAATTTGCTATGCTTTTTGTCTCTCATTTTGTAAAGTCTTTCTAAATGTAACAATAACAGTCATTTAGGACTTTAAGTATATCTTCAAGAAACACACTTCATTTTATCAGTGAAGTACAAAGATTGTCCTTAATATACATAAATAATGGAGAAATGCTAATTATCCTATTTAGCTTCTAAGGACAAATTAGTCATGGTGAAAAGGCATTACCTATTTTATACCATACATCCCTTTGTTAAGCTGGAAATCAAAGTATTGTAACTATATCGTTTTTGAAGATTCAAGTTGCTTCAGTTGTGAATTCCTTATTATGAATTTTGTTGAGTTTAATTCCTAAATGAAATAACTAGTGCCAACATGTTGAGAGGACATTTAGAATAAAGAGAATGAAAAGACATACTTAGTGCTCTTAAATCTAATTTTTGAAAGAAATATGCTGTTAAATAGGATTTATAAATTAAGAGGAATTTCAGCTTGTCCTCCAAACTCATACTAGAGAAACAACTGAAACTCTTTAAATTCAGAGTTCATGCATTTTATTTCTAGCTCTTTTCATTATTCTTTGGTGTCTGCTTTCTTTGAAGAAGATTGCAAAGGATTCTGTTTAGAGAGATATCTATGATTGAAAACACTAGCATGTGATAGCATAGACCATTGTGTATTTTTTATAAAAAGGAAAAATAAATGCTTTTTGAGAAAACAGCATAAATCTTTTAAAAAAACCTTAAACTAAGAGGATTATTCTTCTCTTAACAATGTAAAGTACATTCAGTAATGAGGGTCAACACTGAAACTGACACTTGTACTTCAAATCTCATATCGTATGTACTGCTTTTTAAAAACCTGACAATAACATGAGACTCTTTTAAACATTAACATTCTAGAAAGTGTTTTTTCAAGTGTTTTTTCTTATACTTCATAGAATTAAATCTTTTCTCTTTCCAAGTGCTAATTAAAGGCACGGGGGCCTATTATGCCATCCTTTATGCAGCACTTATCCCTGATTTTTGTGCAACTTATACTAGAGAGCACCATTACTTGGCTCTCATTAACAGCAAGCTTGGGTATACACCTTTGGGAGGGATACACAGCCACCAAATGTGTTATGATTAAGTTAATCAAAAAAGGTTCCTTTTGGACCAAATGCTGCTCACTCACACATGTAGTCCCATAGACACAAAACAGTAACACCCCAAATATTCTCTTCTGACATAGGCCTCAACATGTTCAGACCATTGGCCATTACTTCAGGTGAGATGCAACAGCTTTGAATGGCACTGCCAGCATATTTTGGCTGCAAGACCTCTGTAAGTGGTCTATGGTGGCTCATTCCACAGGAAAAGTGATCATGAAGTGACATACAGTCAGCCTAGGGGTAAATAATACCATACCCTCCCTTCTGCTGGCATAGTATGGAAATGGGGGCATGGTCAGGATAATTCTACGCTAGTCCTGAGCTAAGTTTTCATCAGCTATGAGACTACTGTAACACAATGTGGGGGGAGAAGTGGACAGAGTAGCACCAGAATCAGGGCCATTCAAGTGAGAAATTTGAGCCACCTTTGCATACAGCTCCCTGAATTGCACTCTGGGCATTTTGGAATAACAAAGGACATAGACTTCTATCATGAAGTTTAATAAAATTAGCAGGACACATACAATCTGTCATGACCTATGGGTCTTGAACCCAGCTTGTTGACAAGGACCTACTTGGGACCCATGAAAACCAGCCACAGTGTCAGGCTCTGCCCCTGAGGTCCAATTGTTGGAGCCCCAGGGTGGCTGATTGATCCACTGGCCCTACTTAAGCCAGTAGCAGGAACCGGAAACTGTTGAAACAGCTGTGCTCCACTCCTGTCCCCTCTCTGCTCCTCTGCTCCTTTATTTCCTGCCATCCAAGTTGTGGGTCCAGACCTCCAGTTTGTTTCCTGCCTCTGACCTCCTGGTATTCTGACCCAGCCTGATTCTGGTTCCTGATTTGTGGTGCTGATCTCCAGTTTGTCTTCTGCTTCCCATCTCCTAATATCCTGCCTTAGCTTACTTCTGTGTCATGACTGTGGAATCTGGCTCAGACTACTGGATCAGGCTGCCTATGTCCTGGCTGTGACAATCCCTAAATGGCCCACAGGTTACAACTGGAGTATTCCATGTACTATGGCCTGGTCTTGTAGTAGTTGTTCATGCAAAACTGCCATTGCTTTTTGTAAGAGTTCAACCAATGTATAATCTGTAACTAGATACTCTGCCTTGAATAAGGCTGTATCACCTCAGGAGCAGAGCAAGGATCCAGTTATGACTCAGAGTCACAGTTCCTCATCTACTCCTCCCTTGCTCTGAGCCGGAGCCAGATTCCACAGTCATACTCTGCCTATGTCCTGGCTGTGACCATGCACATATTCTTCTCTTATTCCACATGCCCTGAAGAGTTCTGTTCCCCAAGAAAAAAGTTCTTATAAAATCTTTCCACTTAAAAGAATATGTGACTCTTGCAAATTTATAGAGCCAAATCCTTGACTTACTAATGCTAGTTATGAGAAGTCAATGGAACAACCTGTGTGAGTAAGACAAGCAGAATCTGGCCTATGATACATTTTTTAAAAATTAATTGTTTTGCAAATAATAATAAATCCTAAGATTTTAGATTGGGAAGCATATTTAATACTTCTTTGAATGTATATAAAGTGCAATAGATCCTGGAAGTGGCTTAGGGCAATGGAGGGCAGTTAACAAGTATTAATAAGAGCACCAAGGAGTGAAAGAGTGAATTTTTCTTCAGGGCTTGTTCTCTTTCAGGACAGCCTTAGCAAGTATTTTCCTTTCTGTTTGACTTATACATATTGGCATGGTGTAAGAAAAAACATACGCCCTTGGATCTGAATTATAGCCACACGTGGTGCACATTGAAGAGGTTTTTCTCTGTACATGTAAGAAGCAAGTTGACAAAATGCATTCTAGGAAGAAGCTTAACTATTTGTGCACCCATTTTTGGGAATAGGAGAGAAGAAAAAGTGTGAATTATGCAGTTCTCTCAAGCATCACCTAGAAAATCCATGAGGCTAGAATCACACATTTTAACTACAGTGCAATAGAAAAGATCAGTATAGGGATCTTGATGCATGATTCATTTTTTAAAATTATGATTGGCTTTCTAGCTAGCCTTTTAACAGGTGGAAAAGAAGACACCAGAGTTAAATGATTGCAAACCGAGTGAGGAGATACCATGTCACACGTTAAGTTCACCTCATATTTTCCTTAGCATAAAGAATGACACATGATATTCCTAGAGAGAAACAAATACGGGGTCATGAAACCTGAGTGTATGTCTGTATTCTTATTAAAATGGATTGTAGCAGAAGTAATTTCCTCTTGAGGAATTACATCTCCCCAAGTCTTAATTTTTCTTGACAGCCACATATCATGGCTTTTATTAGAGGATTTAGAATCAAAGCTGTTATCTTTAGACCTCTTTCATGGAATGAGACATGCTATATATTCCTACTTTTAATACTTGAGCAGCTAAACATTTCTGAAAGGATATTAGGATAATTAAGGTAAATAATCAACTAAAACAATAAAACAAAAGTGCTATGGCTTCACACCATTTTTGGTCTATGCAACCAAAAGCAGACACGTGAAGGATGTTTTGTTTACTTTGATTTTTGTTGTATTATGTGCAGACTAAATTGGTCACAGAAAGCCAGCAGGAAGATGAAGAGGACACCATCACAAGCACTACATGTCAGAGTCACGTAATAGGTACAAAACTATATTTTATATAGGTATTAATGATACTTTTTTTTCCTGGTAAAACAATGTTTAATCGCAGTAGCTAACCTAGCTACTAAATTGTCCTTTTTAAAAAAGGACTTTCTTTGCATTAGTTTGCCAGTCCAGAGGTACAGATACTGACACCAATTGTGGAGCAAGGTGCTATTCGATGAGTAAGGGTGTTGCAACCTGGCCCAGAGGTTACAACTGGAGTATTCCATGTACTATGGCCTGGTCTTGTAGTAGTTGTTCATGCAAAACTGCCATTGCTTTTTGTAAGAGTTCAACCAATGTATAATCTGTAACTAGATACTTTTCCTTGAATAAGGCTGTATCACCTCAGGAGCAGAGCATGGATCCAGTTCTGACTCAGTCACATCTACTCCTCTACTCATTTACTCCTCCCTTGCTCTGGTAGAGAAAATTACTTCACCTCTTTCTGTGGAGCAGCTCACTCCCATCTCAGCACCCAGCTATCTCCAGTAGGTAGAAGTAGCAAATCCATGGCTCCCCACTCTGCACTTCGTTACTTCCTCCCTAGCCATTTGCTCACAGCAGGGATTATCAGATGAGTAGACCCTGCTCTTCTCACCACAGCCAGAGTAGCAGAGTCATACTCTGTGCGGCGGAGTAAGAGCTGTGACAATCTAGCACAGACTGAGTGCCAGATACAGCCCCTGTTTAAGCAAGGGTAACTAAAAGGTTTAAATAAATAAGAAAAGAATTACCTCCACTATGTGTTCTTCAGTGGACTAGTACAATTCCTCCTGCTTGCTATTTGATTAGCATGTGCTACTTTTTAATTAGAAATACACAGTCAACATTTCTTAAACTATTTGTTCCCATAAACTCTGATGCAATAAGTGACATCCCCTTTCACAAGGCCATATTTTGTCCAAGAGCCATTATGTCCGCTTTATGTGGGACAGGAGGATTCTGCAATGGCCATTTCAACTCCCTGTGCTGCCGGAGACCACAGCATAGGGTAGAATCTGACTTAGTCTTTCCAGGGTACTGTTAGGGATTATGCCAGGAAGAAGGACTTTTCAAGTTGGCCTGTCAAGCTGTCTTGCAGTGTCTCAAGAGCATGAGGACCAGCCTCAAGGCAGACTGTGAAGAAGCAGAGCACAAACCCCAATTCGTCTGTGAGTTCTATAGTTAGATTTCACCAACCAAGGATCATGTGCAGACTCCCCAAGCACTACAACAGCCTTAACATGCAGTCACAGACAGTCCCCTGGGGCACTCCAATCAATCTTGTCACCTAGGTAAGCCTGCCTTTGTGATAGATGGCCCCTTACACCAAAAATCACAACAATATTCAAGTTAATCCCAGTCCCAAAGGACCAATCACTTACTGCGGGTTAATTGCACTTGAGATCTCACACCAAAGACAACGCTTGTATCCAATCCTGTAATAAACTATCTAAAAATTGATTAACTAGGAAAAGGAAATAAGAACATTATTTACAAAGTTAAAGCAGGTAAACATATAGACGCAAAAATGAGTTCCAGTCTTAACTTTCAAAACGTAATAGAAGCTTCTATAATAAGCAGGCGCTATATGTCCTTTAGGACTAACCCAGGCCAACCACTGGGGAGCTTTTGCTTATGCTTAGTAATCCTTGCCTCTCAGAGGGGAAGTGGGGGAGATAGATCAGTGGTTTGAGCATTGGCCTGCTAAACCCAGGATTGTGAGTTCAATCCTTGAGGGGGCCACTTAGGGATCTGGGGCAAAATCAGTACTTGGTCCTGCTAGTGAAGGCAGGGGGCTGGACTCAATGACCTTTCAAGGTCCCTTCCAGTTCTAGGAGATGGGATATCTCCATTAAATTTAATTTAAATTTAGAGTCCAAGCAGCATAAAAGATACAGTTTCTCCTTCTTAGGGCTTTTTATTCCTTCCCCTGTTCTGCTTCAAGTTGCAAGTTCAGCTGCTGGGAGGAATTCAGTTGCACATCTCCTCTTCATGGGGGCGGAGGGGGAAGCAATCAATAAAGTCTTTTGTCCTCTGATGTTCCACAACGATTTGTCTGGTGTTGGTGGACCTTCTTTGGTTGGGCAGGAGATAACACCTCCTATGGCAAACTAGTATTTCACACTTGCCTAATACTTCTCTCCTGTTGGGTGATTTACAGTTACAGACCAAACACTTAAATATTACTTTATAACATGAGACACTGTAAGTGAGATTAATGCATGCAGCAATTGACAAGCATTTCATGAACTCTGAACACTAAACACATTTGTATAACTCTAATACTTGTTGTAACAACACTAACACACAGGTGAGCCAGATTTGTTCCAGTTATGTATTAGTCAGTGTTCAGCTGACACCTAGGGGCCTTGGCATGACCTGGCACCTAGTCCGCCAGTGTTACAACTCCCATTCCCCACAAGGTTTATAGCCTGAGGGGAGACAAAGTTATCAGATCATGCCATGCTGTAACACTAATTCTAAATTATGTCTGTCTTCTCTGCAGTTGTGCTGGGGTGGGCAGAAGTGGCTCTTTAAACTTTCACCTCTGTAATTCATGCCTGCAGGGCCAGCCATAATTTGGCCCTGATTGTAACAGTCACAGTTTGACCCTGTGACTAATACTTAAGAGACGCCCAGTCTCCCTGGTGCAGGTGTAGATTACAACCATTAATGGCTGAGGACCCATTGGTTGTGGTTTCTTTAAAAATGTTTTGTTTTATCATCACTATGGTAAGTGGATTCTAATGATAATTCATGCTGCTAGGTTTTGGAGATTAAATATTGTGACTCTCGACTTGTTTGCAAGGCTATGAGCTTGGTGGTTACTAAACAAAATTCTAATAACTCTTGAGATCAAACTTTAATCAACTACATTTTGCCCATTGGCAGGAACAGATGAAGACAACCTGGGGTCTTAAGCACGCCACAACCTGTCCCCTATGACTTCACCCGTCAGGCCCCAGCTCCCCCTGCTCGGTGGTTCTCATCTCCCCCTCCTCCATGGAGTGATAGCGTCGGGGAGGGAGGGGGGAGCGTCCTTTCCACACAAGGCTGGCAGCAGTGGTCCCTCAGCATCCTAGAAGAGGCAGGTGTGGCAGCAGGAGGAACCCCTGTGTTTACTTCAGCCACAGGTTGCCCTAGTTATATTCCCTTTTATCTCTTATATGTATTGGCTGGGCCTGCTGCTCAACCTCCTGCCATATGCACAACTCTCTGCTAAGGTGGTGTTGGTGGAGCTCCCAGAGAAGTGAGTTAACACCTTATTGAGATGCAAGGGGATGTTCACACCTCTATGCTATTTTTTCAGCCTACCTGCAGACTTCAGCAGGTGTCCTTGCATCAGTTACATTAGGGTCACATTTTCAAGCTTTTTCTCACAACTATGTGGGCTAGAAATCTGTTTCTATTTGTTAATGAAAGGTGATCATGCATTCATCAGGTGACTCCAGGGCCTAGGTGTGGGCCTATAGTGCCTCTGCCTTGGCTAGTCCCCAGTCTTGGACATTCATCTGTGGGAATCCTATAAAGTAGGCTTTATCTCTTTCTGCGTGTTTTATTATATTACTATAAGGTGGGTGCACTACAGGTTGAACGATTGTATTCAAAGTATAGTTATGAATGGTTCACTGTCAAACTGGGAGGGCATAGCTACTGGAGTGTGCAGGGGGTCTGTCTTGGGTCCAGTACTATTCAATGACTTGCATAATCAAGTAGAGGGTTGAAATTTCCAGATGACTCCAAGCTGGGTGGGGTTCCATGCACTGTGGAGAACAAAATTAGAATTCAAAATGAGCTTGAAAAATTACAGAATTGGATCCGAAATCAATACAATTAAATTCAATAAAGACAAGTGTAAACTACTACACTCTGGGAAGGAAAAATCAAATGCACAACTACAAAATGGGGAATAACTGGCTAGACAGTAGGACTGCTGAAAAGGCTCTGGGGGGTTATAGTGAATCACAAATTGATTATGCATCAACAGTGTGATGCAGTTGTGAAAAAAGGCTGTTATCATTCTTGGTTGTATTAACAGGAGCATCATATGTAAGACGAAGGGAAAGTGTAGGACCCTTACTGAATGGGGGAGGCAATCTAGCGACAGATGATGTGGAAAAAGCTGAAGTACTGAATGCTTTTTTTTGCCTCGGTCTTCACAGACAAGGTCAGCTTCCAGACTGCTGCACTGGGAAACCCAGTTTGGGGAGGAGGTGAGCAGCCCTCAATGGTGAAAGAACAGGTTAAGGACTATTTAGAAAAGCTGGACATGCACAAGTCCATGGGTCCAGATCTAATGCATCCAAGGGTGCTGAGGGAGTTGGCTGATGTGATTGCAGAGCCATTGGGCACTATCTTTGAAAATTTGTGGCGATCAGGGGAGGTCCCGGACGATTGGAAAAAGGCAAATATAGTGCCCATATTTAAAAAAGGGAAGAAAGAGAAACCAGGGAACTACAGACTGGTGAGCCTCACTTCAGTCACTGGCAAAATCATGGAGAAGGTCCTCAAGGAATCCATTTTGAAGCACTTGGAGGAGAGGAAGGTCATCAGGAACAGTCAGCATGGATTCACCAAGGGCAAGTCATTCCTGACCAACCTGATTGCCTTCTATGATGTGATAACTGGCACTGTGGATATGGGGAAAGCGGTGGATGTGATCTATCTTGACTTTAGCAAAGCTTTTGATATGGTCTCCCACAGTATTCTTGCCAGCAAGTTACAAAGGTATGGATTGGATGAATGGACTATAAGGTGGATAGAAAGCTGGCTAGATAGTCGGGCTCAATGGGTAGTGATCAACAGCTCTATGTGTAGTTGGCAGCCAGTATCAAATGGAGTGCCCCAGAGGCTGGTCTTGGGGCCAGTTTTGTCAACATTTTTATTAATGATCTGGATGATGGGATTAATTGCACCCTCAGCAAGTTCGCAGATGACACTAAGCTGCGGGGAGCAGTAGATACGCTGGAAGGTAGGGATAGGGTCCAGAGTGACCTAGACAAATTGGAGGA